ATAATATGAATTTCAAACGAATTCAAAAAGTCATTACGTACATAATTTTTGAATATTTAATTAAAAATATCATAGCCAGGTTATTTTCAGCCAACCCACTCGCGAAATATTTCATAACACGTTAAATTTCATACAAAGTAGATTTCATCCAGTAAACAGTTGGATGAAGGTCGCGCCCTTGTTGGATCTCCTACTATAAATGAAAATTTAAACAAGTTGCATTAATTCAAACAACTAGAATTACTCCAAATCATGTTTCATGAAAATAGCCATCATCCACTATTCGCAGAGTTTTGCGATTTTGTAAGAAAAGACTTTCATTTTAGTGACAAAACCTCACTTTTATTGCTATATTTAAGGCTCTTGCGATTCGATTATTTTCTTTTTGGGCTAAATATAGAGTTGAATAGGTGCTACACATAGGGTCCAAAGAAGTAAAAGAAAATAGATGTTTTTCTTTGTTTGCATCTCATGGAAACGTACGACGTAACTATAAACTTTCATTTCCTGCAGGGTATAGTTTAATCACCATGTGCGTGTATGCAAGTAGCTTTGCGGTTTATCCGCATTCTCGAAGTAGTTGTTATCCAAAACCGTCACATGCAATCCAACGAAAATAATAAATCAAAGTACTAAATCGTGCAATTTATTATTTATTTATTACTATTATTTACAATTTATTTACTTGCATAATGAAATTATATAAACTAACTTAAATTTAGGCAACCAACAACTGTGGTCTTCGGGCTCACTTTTGAAATATGTACATTAAATCAAATACATATCGCATTTCTTCAATAGTTTAATTGTATTCTTAATAGTTTAAAGGCTAACATTTTTAAGTTGATCCGGTACACAAATTCTATAAAACATGGCCATTGTTTACTATTAATAATGTTATAATTATGGATTAAGTGATAAATTGTTAGATTATTACTTAAGCAGAGGTGACATCTTGGCGGCGGAGATCCTTCCACTAGGTGCCGTTGAACTAATCGTGTATACCCTAATGTTCCATTCGATTCGATTCCTAATCTTAGCGCACTGTATTTTCCTAGATCCAACCTTGAGGCCTTATTTGGATACCTTGGGTTCTTCCCATATTATTCCCTTCTGATTATCGTGTAAACTAGTTATGACGGGGAGGAAAAAGACAATTTAGAAAAAATCTTAGATTAATCGCAGAAAAGATTAGCCCTTATCACCTTCCTTTAATTTTAAATAATATCAATTGTTTTATTGATTCGATGCAATTAATGCCACATTCCTGTCGGCAAGCAAGTTGCATTTTGCTTCCTATTTTTTTATTTTATTTTTATTTTTGCTGTATTTGTGTATGTTTCGCAAAATGTGTCACAAAGACTCTGCACTACTTCCCGGCACAAAGATAGAACCACCCTATTACGCCAACATCTGCGCAGCTGCTCACACAGAACGCATGAGTGAATTGGAATGTCGCAGAAAAATATATACAAAAAAAAAATGCCTCAGTCCAATATACATACATATGTTTGTATGTAAATATATTTATGTACAAGCCTGTATAAATAGACGTTGTGTTTATTTTGAAGCAAATGTGATTAAAGGAATACAGGATGACAAAATATGTAAAATAAAAACTTTTTATCAAACTCAAGTCAACATAAGCAGCTATCAGAAATAATGGAGGTTATAAATAAATACATACATAACTATATTCTTAAAGAAATATAGCAAAATCAAACCTTAACTAAGAATCCACTAAATCGACAATGAATTTATCATAATACTGCTTTACAACTTTTTAACTACGATTAACCCTACTTAACTTGATTGACATCCAGCTGTGACTTAAGATACGTTTTTATTCTTAGCCTGGCTTATTAATTAAAATTATCATTATGACATGAATTTCCAAGGTAGTAAGTAGTATCTATGTGACAAACATTTATACCCGCCATTCTATCTCTTTGTGTTAATATTTTTACTTGAATGTCAATTAAAATTTTCATTTTTATTTAATGATGCATTTTTATTAAGAATACATATGAGTATACACAAGCAAAGAGACTACTTATAAACAAGCAACCTTGCAGTAACCATGCCACGTTATGAAATATGAAGAGGCAGAAAAACATCAAATCTACGTATGTATGTATGTATCTACATATGTAAGAACAAAAAGCAATAAATGAAGAGTTAGAAGAAACTGAAGTGTCCCCAAAGATCAATGTTAATAAGTGAAAAAAAAAACAAAAAAAAAAAACAAAGCGCTCCATGAGCCATCGAAGAAGGTACTTTGCAATAAAATTTGCAACGTTTGAACTAAGCGGCGTAACTAGTTTCATACCACTCCACTGTTAATAATAAAATGTACTCTTATACAGTTGATGGATAACAAAATACTAAAAAATTACACAGAAGTAGGTTTGTGATCAGGTCTGCCAATTTGGCTAAGACCGTGACATTTTTGGTCCCGCTTCAAATGTCACCTAATTTCTCAATTTGTAAACAAGGTGCCAAAATGACACCTCTGGAAAATTTATTTTTATTATTATTTTGTTAAATTTTTGCTGAAATCCATGGCATTGTTCATCAATTATAATTTCCTACTTAGGTTTCAAAGTCACACCTTTTTATTAGAAACGTGGTTAATTTTTTATTGCTAAATGAGAAAGAAAGAAATAAGATTATTTCGATTGAAAAGAATGGCATCTTATTTGCATTTATTTTTTTTTATGGTAATTTTTTATTACCAATTTGTACAATATACACGGTGACCAGGTGCCTGTTTCATAAAAGTGACAGGTGCGACAATTGTCGATTATTCCGAAAAATTTCAGAGCCAGAATTGTCGGCGACATTTTTCCTCTTGCCTGTAGGCAATTGTGGTGATTTTTGGAAACGACAGTGACAATACTGGAATATTGTGGACAATGGTGTTTGTAATTGTCACACACCACTAAGCTCCACAGAAGAGGGGATAAAACCCCTCCCTGAGGGCAGCCATTTGTTGTTAGTAGTTGTACCACGCTGACAGGTTCCTTTTCTTATTCCGCTGCCTTTTGACGCCAGAACCTCATTGTGATATAGCTGGACCTAAAGTTCAGCTTATACTCAGCACTGACACCATTGAAGGAATCTTCGTCTATGCCCACGTTTAGACGTACGCCAGCATCCTCCATTCTGCTGGAGATGACGCGCCACGCTGGTGTGTTAAGACCTTCGTTTTACGGCCTTAGCAGTCCCATCACATAGGGTGCATCAGTTCTTTTGTTTAAAAACTATAATTGATGGAAATGTCAAATAAGCTCTTCGGAGCGGAAGTTTAGAGTGTTAATTGCCCGCTCTTCCGCTTTGCAGCGGATGCGGTCTCGCCGGAACCTCTTCCGCTTTGCAGCGGGTGCGGTCTCGCCAGCGCGCTTGTCGTACCTTCTGTCCGAATACCGGAATTGCTCATCGCGGCGCTTTTCAGCGGGATTGGTTTCTGCTTTGTCGCTGTAATGCCCGCTCTTTCACTTTTCGGCGGGTGCGGTCGGACTGTCGGATACCTCGGTGGCTTTGCCATCGCACTCTTTGCCATGTCTCCTCGACTCCTGCTGGGGCGATCTGGCGAGAGCCACTGGCGACCTCAGGAGCCCTACCTTGTTATAGGTACCTTATGTACTGCCTCGTTCTGGAGCCGCGTGACGTGCTGCCTACCTCTATACCTCTTGTCGTTATCGGTGTCTCTCAACGCCCTTTCGTGGAATATATAACTAGTCGTGGAGGGCTCATCGTCTTTTCTCTCGTGCTCAATGAAGAGCGCTGTTTTGGTATCAAGAAGTTCTTCCTCCATTTCTCTTTCTTTTTGCCTTTCGGTTTTGTTTGGGCCGGAGTACCTTTGTCGTGCCTTATGCTTGATAGCTCTTTGTTTGTACTTGTTTTATCTTTGTTGTTTTTTTTGGTTGTTTGTTTCTTTAGTTGTCTTCATCTTTTCCTTACGACCGTGTGCCTGACCTGCCTGGCGTAGAAGTCTACAAATCTGCCGGGGATCTCGAACGTTCGCCGCGCCAGCGCCCCTTGTCGCGGTAAGGCCACCGTTACTATTCGAGGCGACCCGGTATCGAGAAGGCGCTGTTAAAAGCCGCAAACCGACCAATAGGCACGGTGTCGCGTCACACCCTGGATTAGGAGGCGGCAGTTATTGGTCGCAGTTCGCCAGCAGCCCTAAGCTGGAAAAGAGGACAGCGCAGAAGCTGCAGGAGCGGCTGCGTTACTCCAGTCCAGGGAAGGGCTGAATGGAGATTCAGCTAAGCCCGAGCACCAACGGAAAGGTGGGAGATTTCTGTGTATTAACTTAAATGCTTAAAGTCCGTCTTTAGCATTTACATTCGGCCATTGTACTATGCATTCGGTCTAAAATTTTTGAATTTTACCTTTTCGTAGTTAGCAATTAATTCCTTTTTTTTGCAAATAAATTTTCTAATTTCATAGAATTGAAGGCGTATGTTTGATAATGAACCATTATTAATAAAAATGCTTGTGCTTTCATAAATAGAAAGAATAAATATTGGTTTAAGAACCTATTAAGTGTCAACAACAGTTTTAATGCGCGATTTACTCTGCAAATACTCTATATGTACATGTGTACGTAACTCTTTATTTTTAACTGTAAATATGCCTTTAGATACCGTTATCGATTGTTCGAGTTCCCACTTCTCTTTGGTTAGCGATTAAGGCTCAGGAGCTGCAACAAAAAAAGTTTTCTTTGAATTTCAACTAAACTATTCCTAGTTGCTCTCAACAATCATGGTCATAACATACTTACTACTACTTATTTTCACTACTGGTTATCCCCTGCTGGTTGGCGACACACTCTTTGTTTCTTTGGATTGTGTTTTAATTTTGTGACAATTAGTCGCAACATTGCTTCACGCAAATTTCTCTATTGCCCATTCACGCAAACAACTACTACCTTTTTTACTGCTGTTTAATAGTTTAATCATACCATTTTCTCCATTTTCTTTTTCTATTTTCAGCTTGAATGTAAGAATGATTTTGTTGGTACGCGATCCACGTGGCACAATGCAGTCGCGTAAGCATCGCGATTGGTGTGCTGGCAACATAGATTGTGAAAATCCACATTACGTGTGTCAAGATTTAGTGGCCGATTACCATGCTGCTGTGGAACTGCTAAAGGAGCATTCATCACGTTTCAGGTAAGAGAAATTAGTAATAATCAAGCTTTTTCAATTAAATCACGTAATGGTTAAGTTATTACGACAGTTAAGCTTTTTCTATTATTTCCTAATAATTTTTTTTTCGCTGAAATATTATGGTTATCATTTGGGGGCCCAGGGAATTATACTTAAATACTTGTTATAAGGGACAGTTGTTTTACTCTATGTATATTGAAGTAACATCTACCCTTGCCCTCTTCTGGCTGTCAAAACAGTTTTCCAATAAGTGTTAAGCAGTGCGAAAGTAGAAAACTGAGTACACCCAAACAGACAACAGCTTTTTTGAGGCCAGAGACAGTGAACCAAAGTACTTTATACCCTTCACTGTTATGATATTTACCGTCAGCTTTAATAAAGATATGCAGGGAAATTGAGTAATCCTTGCAAGTCGAATTGCGACCAATTCACCAGCGGTATGAATAGGCCCAATTGGAGGAAACAGTAACTTTTCGAGAAATTTCCTCGGCAGCAGAGCTCTTAAAAAAGTGAAAGTATATTTTTGTAAAGAAAAAAATGACTGTTCAAGTCAAAAATAAAATTCGACCCGACAAAGGATCATCTATGTATTGAGCTAACCAAGTTATAAGGACTGGAAGTAGCAGTGTTGTGCCGAGTTCTTCCAAAAGCGAACTCTTCCTATCTAACAGGAGCTATAAAATAGAAAGTTAAAGGTGCTGAACACATTGAAACCACGACGAGCTATGAGCCCCAGCTTCCAATTTGTTATCTTCATTATCTAAACACTTTGTCGGTGGGGACATGAATTTTCTGAACGCGGCAGCGGCATCAAGAATTTGTTTGAGTTTGACATAAAAGAAGAGGAAGAACTTTATCTGTCGCTGGAAAAATAGAAATAGATCTAATCTGGCCACAACCACAGTTGTAGCGTAGTAGAGATGGGTAACTCAGCACTGAGCGAAGCTATTGAGCTGACTCCCAGCAATGTGTCGCACGCTCAGACTCACTTTTAAAACGAAATATGACTCAGTAGCTCAATAAATATTCGCTCATAGTCGGTCCTCAGAGTAAAGAATAAAAATAAAGACGAGAAAATTGCGAAAAATTTAATAGTTGTGAAAATGTACAATTCGTTCAAGTTATTCCGCGCACCAGCTCTACAGCTCATACCAACTCATTTCCTCTTAATAGATCTACAGTGTAAACCAGCTCTACAGCGCATACCAGCTCTATTTTTTAACAGCTCTTCAATGCAAACCAGGTCTGCAGCGCTCATCAGCTAAACAGTGCTAACTAACAGCGCTAACCAACTCTAGGCTGTGTTTCCTCGACAGCAGGGTGTTATAACTCAATTGTGCCATCTCACTGAGCTGACTAATTGAAATGAGCTTGAGTCATTGAGTTAACTCGATAAAATTCAGTGAGTTACCCAGCCCTATAGCGTAGCTCTGTCGCCGCCAAAATAATTGTCCTCATAAAAGTACGTGTTAAAATAATTTGACAGCTCTGGTTCGTATGTGGGACCACACAATTTGTACATTTGTACAGTGGCCCTTATGCAGGGATCACTTGATTTGTACATTTGTACAGTGGTTATTGAGCTAAACTCTTTATTTCTAGACGACAACTCTGTGACTGCCAAAATGTACAAATGTACAAATCGTATGATCCTTACTTTAGTTTGAAAAATGTTTAAATGTCTAAAGCATCCTAATTTCTGGAAGTTATTCTTGACTGTAAACTTTCCTGGAAAGGCAAGAATACAATTGGCGAAGAACAAAGATTACGATCGCAAATTAAATATTGGTGTTATACAACAGTGATAGTTAAAATAATTTGGTCAGGTGTGAAGCGGCCTTTTAATACCGAACGTATTACGAATGACATACAATTGACTGGAAGAATTCTGCAGGAGCTATTATAAATAAGAGGAAAATTTCAGAATGGGTATCCAAGTAAATTCTTAAAGAATTCTTGAAACTTAAAGCTCGGTTAGTCTAGACTTAACTTATGTAAGAAATCGTCAATGATTACTCAACACGTCAGCTTATCTAGAAGCGCAAATATTTTGCTTTTGTGTTTTTACGTTCAGCTGATTGTCACTCTGCCGCCTATAAGCCACAGCAGAAAATTCCTAAACAAAAATATATTGCTTTGGCCAATATATGTATGTATATTAGGTTGCGTTACGTAAATTAAGTCTAGACTAACTGAGCCTTTATTAATTTTGTCTGTTTCTAATACATACATTTGTATGTTCATATGTTTTTTACATTTTTTTAGAACTTTGCGCTATGAAGATCTCTCTCTGAATACGTACGATATGACCCAAGAGGTGCTACAATTCTACGGACTCCCATTCGATCCTCTCGTTGAAGAATTTCTCGATACGCATACAAAAGTAAATATTGGTGGAGTTAGCTCGACGTATCGGGACTCCAAATCTGCACCATTTCATTGGAAACAAGACCTGC